ATCGCCAATCTTTTCGCCAATTTTAAAATTGGCGATTTAAAATTGGCAATCGCTGATTTAATCGCCAATCTTTTCGCCGATTTTAAAATTGGCGATCGCTGATTTTATCACCAATCTTTTCGCCAATTTTGAAATTGGCGATTTAAAATTGGCGATCGCTGATTTTATCGCCAATCTTTTCGCCAATTTTAAAATTGGCAATCGCTGATTTTATCGCCAATCTTTTAAAAAGCACGATGAAAATTAGCGATCGCCAATCTCTATGGCTCATTTTTAGCTGATTTTCAAAACAGAGCTACTAAAAGTAGGATGTCCCCTATGGGCCACCGTACGTTTCCCATCCAATTTCGGTAGCTTTAAATAAATAGACTGTTACCATAGTTACCGTGAATAGTCGTGAATGATCAGTGTTTTTTCTTTCTTATTTTTCTGCACTGCAGCAACGATCTCAACAAATGTGCGTAGAAGGTCACAAAGAGTTGAGCTACAAGACCCCGCAGAATTATACGTCTCCATGAAAGGTGAATGTCTGGTTACAAATACAACATTTTTTTTTTTGCTAATATCTGTTTTGCTAACATTTATGATTGTATTGATTTCATACCTTTAGATGATGTACTTCAGTATGATTATGCTTCTGTRAATGGAGKTCCTGGTTCCAATCAGAACATACCAAAAGGAATGCAACAGATTCCAGGCGCATTTGAGTATGATTACGCTTCGGTGAATGGCGAACCTAGTTCCAATCAGAACAAATCGGCAGAAGGAATACAACAGCGTTCAATCCCAGACGCATTTGTGTATGATTATGCTGCTATGGACGGAGATCTTCGTTTTAATAACAGAACAAAAGGAATGTGCCAGCATTCAATCCCAGGTTTGTACAGCATTGCCAGCCGAGATCTGCCCCAGACTGGTTTCTGTTCATGATTATACTATCTAAGTACAAATTTGCGACATTTCGAGAGCCTTTTAACGATATAAATACTGGTCTCTTTAAGGTCATTCTCCGTAAGTGACTCGGTTAGTTGTTGTTGACGAAGAAGCAGCATATTGCAACACATTGCACCAACTTGCAACGTCATGTGTATCAGCCATTTAGGTGTACTCTCTTAGTGTATTGACAATGCAATTTCTCAACAACGCATTCAGTATACTGTGCAATTTCTAGCAGCTACAATACAATATGCTGATAGACATGCACTGGGTTGATGAAAGAGTTAGATGATGTAATTAATAGCGCCTTATAGGTTCATCGCTGTTTTATTAACCTAATTCATATATCGTCTGCATGTTTGCACATTATCATACGTCTGGTCTTATCTTTACCATAAGTTTTCTTCTTGACTATTTTTTATTTCGCGTCGTAGTGCGTAGGACACATAACAAAGAAGATATCCCCACCCCAGCAAATCATGAGCCAAATGAATACATCAATAAAAAGGAGAAGCCTGAAGATGGACTTTCATCTGAGTCAGCCTACCAGCCCCTACAGATAAAGTCCCCTGAAGATGGCGTGTATCAGTCATTGGATAAAACATCAAGAGTTGTCAATGATAGTAAACGTCGATAATTTGATCGATTAAAAGAAATTTAGCGCGTCTTGATTATTAATAGAAGCCGACGTTGGATAACGCACGCACGGCCAATCATCTTAGACTATACTATAAATTTTTTGTGAGATTGAAAATGAATACTCCAGTTTCGAATTCTCCCATGCTCTGTGTTGGCCTCATTTGTGAGCAAAATATTCCTTATTGTGAACATAAAATGTGAAATTTCAAATCAATTTTATTGTCTATTTTCAAAAATTCCATGCGTTTTCTCTGAGCCTAGTAATGGAACGAAAGAATATTTTGCTTGGACGTTTTGAGTCAACACAGAGCAAACAAGAACTCGAAATTGGAGTATTGCTAGGAAACCGCGGTTCAAAAATGTTTTATACGCAATTTTATTATACAATTCCTGTAGTCTTAAATATATCAATAAGTCATGCTAAAATTTTTAAATTAAAATAAATTAAAATGATATAAATGAAAGGGTAAGCGAGTCAATTGGTAAAGAGAAATATTAAAATAGTACGTGGACATCTAATAAAAGCATCAGCTTAAACAATAAATAGAATAGGTTTTCCTTTAGCACGACTGTCAAAACACATTCACTTTCGTGCCTTCCCAGCTAGTGTCGTTTCCTAGTGAATAAATTTTACCAGTCATGGTTTTCCGCCGCATGGAAACAGAAACATTTTTTCTTTCTTTTTTGTTTGTTTCTTTTTTGTGGCAATAAACCTTCCCTTGTAAGAGTCACTATGCTTAGGATCTTGGTAATAAGGATGCCACATGAACCAGATTTAGAATATCATACACACGTACTATATATATTATGTTCTCTGATAATTAAAATTCGTTTGCCAAAAAGAATAAAGATGCTTGACCAACCCAGGCGTGCTATTGGTTCGAACTATGCATCTTCAGCACCAGGAAGTTTGGATTTTTCATCTTTATTTCTGAGTTGCATTGGTGAATAATGTTGTTGTACATCATGCCTTTTGATATATCAGATCCTTATTTATCTTTCCCGAAAGTATACATCATTCATTCAGATAAGAGTTCATGATCAGCAAAGAAAAGTTGGCATCAAGGAAAAATTTCCTTTTCAACGATGAGGCCAATATCATGGTTATCTATAAACTTTATCATCCTGTCATTCATAGCCCTATGTCCTAGTGTGCACAATACTGACAATGGAGTTGTGGTTGTTAAACGCGAGCAAGATCCCACTAACGAACACGGAGAGCCTGATGGATTTGGTTCTGATTACACATGGACAGACTGTAGAACTAGGTACAAAGCCAATTTACTTTCACAAGGGTTCTGTCAATGTCCGAGTAAAAAAAGCACATATTTCTACTTCAACGACCAATGCAATTCCAATGTGGACATCGAAAATTTGATCTCTCACGCTCAAGGTAAGGTAAAACATGTGGTTGATATTAGAACAAGAAAACGACGAAATTATGTTCCGGGCAAGAAAACATTAAAACAACGTCTGCAAAGCGAGTTTTCTTTTTGATGCGAATTGTCTGGAGTCTTTGCAACTTACTTAGTATCCTTTTCACCCTCCCTGTCCAAACATGCTACCGAGGCAGGGCATGAGCATCTGATCTAGGCACATAAGAAATCGGACCATCGTGTGTATCATATAGAAGTTTGAATGAAAATTAAAAGCTTCCCGACAGCTGGTGGCAGCCGGCTATAACTCATAGTTGCATTCCTAAGTTTGCTGACTTTGTTTGAAAATGAGAAAATGTTAATTTACTTGATTATATTTACCTTCCAGTTTGTTTTGGAGGTTTTTTAGAATTCAAATACCAGTCAAGAGACAGTCCATATCCTGTGTTTGATCTAACAGATACTCCACCGTCGGAGGACGTGAATTTTAAAAACGTCAAAACCTTCCATGGTCAGTGTAGAAGCAAACATGTGTTTTACTTTGACGATTCAATAGGGAAGTTGCACAAAACAACGAATTTTGTGAACATATTTTCTCTTAAAAAGGAAAAGCAGGTAACTATAGTATATGGCAATCCATTAATGTCATCCCATGTTCATCTCAAATGCCAGTACAATTATCATTACCGCTAACACTGAACACTCGCTTCAAATATTTCTTTCCCTGTTACCAAAAAGTTCACTCGTGTCATCCCGGATCGAATTATCTATTATCTATTATTAGTCATCACCATCTCAAAAAATACATTCCATCAGACAATCTCACAGGAAAGATTTGGTAGCGGGACCCGCTATGTCGTTCTGCAGTCCATAATTGTAGACATTAACATTGTTCACAAATCAATCCCCAGTTTGTACATCTAGACTGGCGTCCATTATCYGAATCCATTTTAGACGGAAGGCTTATCATCATTGAATTCACAAACTGTACAATAGAGGTTTGGAAGCCACCACGGTCATCTGTCAGTAACCCTTGCATTATGTTCAAGGCTCAAGGGAGTTTAATATGTAAGTCCAGCCGTTAAATGACATCAATATGACGTCATACAAATAAGTTGACGTCATAAATATTCGCATATTTTGTGATGGTCATTTAATTCGATTTTTCTTGAAATATAACAATTCATTGTAGCATAGCACGAAATGAGAAAACACTACCCAGACCGAGAGAGTCTATAGTTTATAAGATGGCCTCTGTGTCAGTGCCTCTTTAAAGGGACACTGTCAATGGCACGCATGCGCGAGTAAACTTGAAAAGATTAGGCTAATGTTTTCAACTTTACGACTGCAAGTTGGCGCGACGCATGACAAAAAAAGTACTCGTAAACGTAAACAGATCTAGAATATTCCAAAGTGTGTCAAAACATTAATTTACCTCGAAGGTAATACTTTCAAAGTCCGTTAGAGGCAAGACTGTTACTGCACATGTCATCCATTGACAGTGTCCCTTTAAGTTTGTCTAAATGAAACCGTCATCAATGCATCTACGTGAAATGCATACATATCTAATGATTTTTGTTTTTATCTGTAGTTCCTGAAATTGACTTATCAACTAAAACTGCAGTACCAAGTAGCTCTACAAAATCACCTCTGAGTCTATATTCAGGTACTATACTCCATTAAAAAAGGTTTTGCGCAAATAATCAAATTTTGCAAATTGACGTGCAATTTGGTCAGTAATCGCATCTTAATAGTACTGATTATCAATCACGTCTACATGATTCTGCACAGCTAGTCCTTCTTCCACTATCTTGTCTGGTTCGCCGCACTCGACATTATCAACGCCACCATCGACATGGTTAAAAATACCAACACAAACACCATCAGCAACACCATCACCATCACCATCATCAACGTCAACACTACAGAGCACATCAACCGTTCTTCCTGGAATTCTTCCAATAAAACCAACCAGTTCCCCAAACCCAACCAGTAGTAAAAGCCCCGAAGCCGCCAAGGTATTGCAAAAGTAATATTAATAATTATTCATTCCAATTATGAACGAAAAGTGAGGAAAATAATTTTATTAAAACAGAATGTCTCTTCCCATACTGGAGCCATCGTGGGGTCCGTTATTGCTGTACTTGCCGTTGCACTCGTAGTTGTCTTCGTGGTCTTAATTTGCCGAAGACGGAAACAGAAAACCTGGTAAGCGAATCATGGTAACACTCGAAGCCACGGTTCTATTCATTTCAGTGGAGTGCATAGCATTTTGAAAGGGTTTTACACAAAAAGCGATCACTATAAATGAATGTCACTTGCCATTCGGACTGTGTAAATTTGGATACAAATGTGAGAAAGTTCATCGCTTGATGGTTTGCCGTCTGTGTGCACTACTAACCGTCCGACCCCTCATCCTAGGAATCGTTGACAAAATCCTTGGACCATTCCACAGCGAATGTCCTCATTATTAAGCAACACCCGCAGACAATTTCATCCCCCCTGGCCCCCTAAATTCAAGTTGTCATTGAGCATGTTACCATAGCACACAACCATCCAAAAACAAGACACTGGTGAAAAGGGGATAAAAGGGCTTGGTGGAGGTGATGGGGTTGAGTATTGTGAAAAATAAAGGGGAAAAATGTTAGGCTGGAGACAAATAATCCTATGGTCAAAGTTTTTTTGGCAACGATTGTACTATGCCGCTCTTTAGCTCCCATACGATGATCAACAGTTTCAACGAAAACTGGAGAGGTTCATTTACCATCAAAAACCTTTATTCTAATCGTTTCCTTGTCTTCTTCGACAGGCGCAGAGAAACAGGAACCCAACATTCTAGTGAGTTATTTATACTCTTGTTTCGATTTCAACCCAATTACAACCTTAGAAAAGCTTGCTCCGCTCGCAATGCAATAATACTTAACAGTACATATAATCCGTGTCTTTCTCAGCAAACAACCCGACGTATGGCCGTAGAAACACCACAGAAACAATAGAATTACCACAGCCAAGAAACACAGCAAAGAAAGGTACACCATATTATGTATAAAGGTATTTATAAGAGGTTGTCGCCCTGATGCGTATCCAGGGGGGCCACGGAGTGCCCGTGACCCCCTTTCAAAGCCAAAAAAGCGTCAAAACCATAGATTGATATGACATCATGTTGATCATATGACGTCACAACGACAATT